CTTATCCATAAGATCGAACTTATCGATAAAGTCCCGAAATGGTTTCACGTCCCGGTTGTTAGTACTTGAATCTGAACTTATACGATCTATGATGGGGTCAAGGACGGCATTCCAATCCATCGCTAAAACTACCCGACGAGATGTCGTCAAAAAAGGATCAATCTGCTGAAATAAAGCAGGCCGCTCAGAATGGTCACTGGGAAAATAAACCCCAATGAGACGAAGAGCCTCATCCTTTATGGTAACATCCAACACGCAAAAGATGACAGATCTGCGAGGACAAGAGTACACGCTGCTTTCAAAGACTTGCTCACCAGCCATGAGACACCTCCGGAGCGTCCATCAAAATATGCTCAATAGAGAGCGAACCCCCTAGACAGAATACTCTCATAATCACAAGTTAAAAACAGGTCTCCTGCACACAACATATATTCACCCCGAGACGCTGAAGGTCATGAGAGAGCCTCATCCTTATATACCGATACATTGGTTCTGCACCTGCCCTCATATTCTTTTCACAGAATCAGATCTTTCGTTATTAAGTCAGGACTGGTTGCGGCTTCAAAGTTGGTAGGCATAGGGAGTAGTACGTCCCACACGAAGTATGTTTTTTCTTTTATGACTCTCTGAGGTTTAACGCCCAGAGACTTCAGCGATTTTATGATGGTGAGTTTTGTGGAGCGACAAATTTTGTGCGAACGCTGGTCCACTACAAAGACTGACACAATTCTTTTTTCAACCTTCTGCAGTTCAGCGGGTTAGTCAAGAGTCTGTCTTCTGTGACAAGATGTGCATAACTCTTAGACCTCTCGAGGAACTCCGTAATCTTGATTTTAAATTTCGGTGGGGACTTCCAATTGTCGTCTTTGTTGATTGCTTGTGATGTCGAATTTTGGCTTTTTTCGGCCACCTTATATTTTGGGGCTGTTGTCTCTTTGGAATTCTCCAAATATTGCCCATTTTCAGCCACCATACAATTTTGATCGTTAGAAATATTCGGATTTCGTCTTTTTTCACCTACCAAATCTTTATTTAGGTCAATTGTAGTATCTACGACTACTTTTCCCTTTAAAGGAGACTGTTTCTTTTTATTAAGTCCAAATAAATTTTTTGGACTGACATTCTTTGGGTAGCTATTTTCAACTAAACATTTTTCTTTATTTAAAATAGATATGTATTTCTTTCTTTTTTTTTAAGGCAAAAAAGCTTTTTTGTGTTTTTTCCTTTTTCTTTTAAATAAAACGGAAACGGAAAATTAAAAATATGATTATAAAAAAATGAAAACATAAATACAAGCAAATAGTTCGAAAAAATAAATCACAATTTCCTTGAAAAAAAAAAAAAAAGGTACTAAAAACAGATTTAACAAGATAAAATGGAAACAAAACAGTTGGACATGCAAAAAATTTAAATATACGGAAAAGACAAAATTAAGACAGATAACAATCACAAATTTCCTTTAAACGAAAATAAGGAAATGCACACAAAAATTGTTAGACTAGCGAAGACTCAAAAAGAAAAAATACACAAAGACGGACAAGAAAGTTAGACATTTAACAACACAAAAGTATAAGTGTTTTTTTTTTTGTGTGTGTGTGGGGGGAAACATTACAGCAGTAAAAAATAAAATGAAATGCTACAAAAAGAAATATTGTAAAAATAACAAATTTTACAAATAAAAGATGGCCGATGAAACACGAAAAATAAAATTAAGAAGAAAAAACCGACAGATTAGACAAAATAAACACGAAAACTTAAATTAAAAAGAAAAAAAAAAAAAAAAAGACAGAAGATTTAACAAATAAAAACACAGATTTAACAGAAATTTAACGGGACGACGAAAAGGAAAAACAAAGAACGAAGTAACACGTAGAAATCTTACTTATTATAAAACGCAGATTGTGTGTGTGTGTGTGTGTCTGTACGTTTATATATTGGATCGGATTTCCTACATTTTTCAACCGATTTCAACAAAACTTCACAGGACTACGTAAAATTACCTTGCGATGGTTCTGACAGCGCCAAAAATTGGAAAAATATAATTGTTTTTGCATGAAATCAATTTGAAAACACGATTAAGAGGCATTAACGAAAGGGGGACAACTCATATCGAGTTATACTTATCAATATCGAGTTATCGAGTTATACTTATTATAAAGGTTGGTTGGTTGTGTGTGTGTGTGTATGTGTGTGTGTGTGTGTGTGTGTGTGTGTTCGTTTATATATGGGATCGGATTTCCTACATTTTTCAACCGATTTCAACAAAATTTCACTTTTTTGGCAGGTAGTATTTCTTATTGTCTTGCACACTTTTTTCTTTATTTTTACATACAGAATGCTTTAAAAATTCCATTTGCAAGACAATTGTTTATAATAAAATTCTATTCAATCGGTAGACTCATAACGATTGAAAACAATGTTTTTGTTTGAGTTTGGGTTTGACCAATTCGTAAAAAAAAAAAAAAAAAAAAAAAAAAAAAAATAATTAAGACATGCGTGTCCGTCAACCTTAAACAATAATCTTTGTCAATTTTATTTTTCAGTCTTTATGATGGTCGATACTTGATCTATCTCTTACTGTTACATACCCGGGCAACGCCGGGCTCTACTGCTAGCAATAAATAAAGAAAATAAAGTCTGGCGCGATTACAGAAAATTAAACGGAAAAATATATTAAAAAAATAGCTTTTAAAAATAAAAGAAAATCAAAAACGTAATAATAAAAGAATAAGTACAAAAAAAGATAAAATAAGAAATGGAGTAGGTTAAAAAAACGAAAAAGAAAAAAATTTGTCGAGAAAAATTCTGTTAAAAAAAAAACGTAAGAAAATGTAAATTAAATGAACTTAATGTAAACGAAGTTTTGTAAACACAAATAAAATTTCAAGGATAGTAAAAGAAACACGTCTGGCGTCTACCACCGGTCATAAACGTTTTTCTGAAAAAAAAAAGAACTCTCTCTACAGAGATACCAAAGAGGAATTTTTTTGAAGATTAAAGTTGATTGGAAAGCATGGAACCGGAAGAGAGCTTCACAAGCAAGAAATATGAGAGAAGACACCGTTAACACAGAACTTACGATTACATCTAGCTAAATCACCTGTAAATTGATGAGACCTCTTCGTCAATCTAGTAAGGCCCTTAAATTCATAAAATCTAGGTAACATTCAAAAGAGCATTATTTATATGTAAGAATTAAAAAATGTGGCACAAGGCCAAAATAGGAATGGAGAAAAGAACGGTCTTCTTCTATCTTAATATTAAACAGGTTACCACAGACACTGACCAAAAACATACAATATTCCTTACACCAAAACAACGCATTCTTACATACCACTCTTACTACAATCACCGTAATACCGTAATGTCTCTATGAAAGTCCTAACTAGTCACCATATATACTATTCATTGTCTGTGAGGCGGGGGAATAAGACAATACTTTAAAAATCTATCCCCAAAGTGTATTTACAATATGAAAATATTATTTACAAGAAACCAAATGTAATAATATCAGAAATAAAATCCTTAAATGCAGCAGAAACACCAGTTAACTGGACGAAATCAATGCGATACTTTAAAAATATAAAACATTCATTCATTCCAACAACTCACTCAAACACACACTCATCCAAACACAATAACAAATACGAAAATCGCACACGAAACGAAAGGCAGCCCTCATCCACCAGGGAACTGACGTCTCTGCTCACCTAAACGTGGGCGAGAAGGGTGCCATTGAGAAGAGCTCATCCGAACAATTACCATGAAAGTATTTATAGAAAAGGCCCAGGGAGGTAACTTCATGGCGGTGGGGAAGTGACTGAAACCGAAACGCCATGTCAGGACCAATAATATTGCGGATTCTTCTTTGGATTTTTATCAAGAATCTCTTGATATAAAACAGGAGCTCCGAACCATATGTAACAGCAATATTCTAAGCATGGACAAATGGTAGACTTATAGATATGCAAGATAGATTCAGGAGAGAAAAATTGTCTAGCGTGACACAATGAACCAACTTTTTGTAGCAGCTGACCTAGCAATGGATTCAAGTTTCATCAGAGAATGGAATATGGATTCGACTTGTTAAACAAACGTTAGTATAATTTGTGGCGTTTTGAATCCAAGGACAGACGACGCGTCCTTTCGAAGTTCCAAGAAATTAACTGATTCCAAGCCTAAATAAAGAACCATAAATATCATATATAAACAGACTTAAAGAGAAAAAAGAGGGGTGATTAGACATAAATAGGTAGATAGACATATAAACAGACTAGGATACAGGGGGATTAGATACATATGAACAAATTAGATAGATAGATAGATAGATAGATAATGAACAGACTGTGATGGATAATGAACAGACGGTGATAGATAGATAGATAGATAGATAGATAGATAGATAATACAAGCAGGCTTAGATATGAACAGACTGAAATTGATAGATAGATAGATAGATAGATAGATAGATAGATAGATAGATATGAACCGATGGACTTACATAGATAAATAGACAGATAATTCACAGACATCGATAGATAGATAACATATAGTTAGGTGACAGACATAGATAGATAGATAGATAGATAGATAGATAGATAGATAGATAGATAGATAATTAAAACATAGATAGATAGATAGATAGATAGATAGATAGATAATTAACAGACATAGAAAGATAGACAGATAATAGATAGATAGATAGATAGATAAATAGATAGATAGATAGATAATTAACAAATATAGATATATAGATAGATAATTGACAGACACAGATAGATAGATAGATAGATAGATAGATAGATAGATAGATAATTAACAGACAGAAAGATAGACAGATAACAGACATAGATAGATAGATAGATAGATAGATTTCTACTTCTTATTATCCATTCCTTTTAAATTAATTACCCTTAAAATATTTACTTTTATTTCTGACGTAAAATCCTACACGTGAAAAGCGAATTTTTTTTTTTACTACAGTATGATTCCAAGCCTAAATGAAGAATCGTAAATATTGCTTTATGTAAGTAAATGTATAATAATTCTACTTTGTCTATATGGGATTCAGATGATAATATACGTTCGTAAATATGTGTTTTGGGCTTTATATTTGAATTCGACAAAGAAAAGAGTATTGAACTCTTACGTGATATCTGTCATCCTCTATGGCAGCGAGTGCTGGACAATCTTCTCAAATTTGAAGAACAGACTTATATTTAAAAATGTTTGCCCAAACACAGTAAACTGCCGATCCTAACGCCATAGGACTAATATGAAAGTTATATCGGGGAGGTTTTAATGCAAATTTGAGGTCTCTACTCAGCTAATATTTACCCAGACGTCATAAAACGCCAGTACTTGGATCTAGACTAACACCATAATCCTGTCATATTGAATGTAAACACCATAAAATACTAGTACTCCTCATCTAGCCTAACACTATAATTCTGTCAAATGTAAATTATTGAGACGTGGTTACATCAAATAATTTTAATCGTTCTAATAAATTAACTTTTAACCCATCCCCGAACAGCTTTTGTGGTCACCCTTTTTACAGTAGGTCATTTGGTCCTCCCAAACTGTTTTTCTCTCTGGGTCGTATTTTCGGAATGAAAATTTACCCCGCCTCGCCAAATTTTATATGATAAAAAAAAATTACACTTAAAAATAAAAATAAAAAAAACAAACAGAAACAAACAGTTAAAGGGAAATAACCGCGGATTCCAAATCAGAAGTCATTGATCCTATCCTCTTCGGTCTCACCTGATATCCTCTTCCGCCTCACCTGCTATCTTCTTCCGCCTCACCTGCTATCCTCTTCTGCCCCAAATGCTATCCTCTTCCGCCTCACCTGCTATCCTCTTCCGCCGCACCTGATATCATCTTCCGTCGCACCTGCTATCTTCTTCCACCTCAGCTGCTATCCTCTTCCGCCTCACCTGCTATCCTTTTCGGCCTAACCACCTATCCTTTTCGGTCTCACCTGATATCCTCTTCCGCCACACCTGCTATCCTCTTCCGCCTCACCGGCTATCTTCTTCCGCTTCACCTGCTATCATCTTCCGTCTCACCTGCTATCCTCTTCCGCCGCACCTTCTATCTTCTTCCGCCTCACCTGATATCATCTTCCGCCTCACCTGCTATCCTCTTCTGCCTCACCTGCTATCCTCTTCCTCTGTAGCTGCTATCCTCTTCCGCTTCCCTGTGTGTCCTCTTTCGCCTCACCTGCCATCCTCTTCCGCCTCACCAGCTATCCTCTTCTGCCTTATCTACTATCCTCTTCCGCCTCACCTGCTATCCTCTTCCGCCTCACCAGCTATCCTCTTCTGCCTCATCTACTATCCTCTTCCGCCTCACCTGATATCCTCTTCTGCCTCATCTGCTATCCTCTTCTGCCTCACCTACTATCCTCTTCCGCCTCACCTATGAGGCAGGCCACACCGTTTGCGAACCACTGTCCTAAAAGTACGCGCATATCTCGGTGCCTAGGCCGCATGCACGGGCATGATATTTCCGACTCAAGAAATTCTGCAGCTTAGATTCTTGGGCAGCAACCTCATTTAGTAACCCTCTACCTTGAGTGGCTATCGGGCTTTGTATTTGTTGAAATATAATAAAGACCATAAAAAATATAATTTAATGTTTCGCTTATAGGTTGCGATTTTCTGTCTAACAATTCGGATTATTGGATTAAAAAATATCCAACAGGATGCGTCAGTGTGGAGTAATGGTTAACGAGCTTGTCAGGGATAATCATTACGAACAATTTTCTGGTTATCGGTTCCACATTATAGTGTCGTAGTATATTAATCCCAGGGGGCTCGTTGATCATAACACTTTCAATGCTTCTTCGTCTGAGTAAATATATTTATATATTATATTGACTCTAAATGAAATTTGAATTGGTTATATTCAAATTTAAGTTGAAGTTAAATTTTTTAAATCATTATCATGATGAGAGAAGTTTAGATTTGAACGCACACGCCAAATTTAGTTATCGATTCCACATATATTTGGAAGATATTGAAAAATGTAAATGAAACAAATACAGAATCGTTCTTTTGTGTCGTCATACACAATTTAGCTCAACATTAGCGCCGAGTTGCATTATTGACCGAAATATTGGCATCTAACCCTTTCCTCTTCAAACCATTATCAACAACAGGAAATGTCGTTAATACTGTTTATTATAAACAGAGCATTTACTTAAATATTTGTATCTATAAAAAATAACGTATAAACAGAAAATATATTAAAATAATTGTCGGACTTCACTTCATTATATTTGATGTCATTTGTTTACGTTAAAATACGCTTCGAGCAGATATGAGCGTTTCAGTCGAATCATTGGAAATTTGTAATTTAAAAACAGTAATTTAACCTTGATAACCAGACGCTTCCTCTGTAGCTAAATGGTATAACACGTCAGGCTTTATGACGGTTCCGTGTAGGATGCAGGTTCGATACATATTTTCTGTGAGATTTCTCGGATATTCTGGCCGATGAATGTTATTAATACTGTTTATTATAAACAGAGCATTTATTTAAATATTTGTAACTATAAAAAATAACGTATAAACAGAAAATATATTAAAATGTGATAAATGAAATTGGAGTTAGGTATATTTAAATTTAATTGAAGTGGAAATTCTTTAAGTCATTATCATGATCAGAGCTATTTTTGCTTAAAGGCACACTGTAAATCAATTCTAAACGTCAACTACTTTATGAAGAAGTCTTATCAGTCCTTTACAAACGCCATTGTTGTCTAACTCCTCGTCTTCTATCAAACACACTAAATCGACCAAAATCTTTCCCACATCACCACATAAACTATGCCGCTTAATCTGCAACCCTCTATTTCGAGTGGTTCTCGAGCGTTGTACAGTATTTTTACATTATTGTAAAAAAAAGAGTAAAAACACAAAACAAACAAAAAAATCGAACAGACGATAAACTGAAATAAGTCCAGTCATTGCTACTTCTCAGTAAATTATTTTCTTTATGATGCTTTCAAAAATAGATATTTTGTATATAATTTTATACTTTCAGAGTAAAGGTATGTTTTTTAGATATTTACTTTGTAGATCATAAAATGAATTGTTAGTAATCTATATATAAAACTGAGGATGTCTGGCTGGCTGTATGATAACTTTTCATTTGAGATCCATCCAAGCGTTTTTGACCAAACTTGGCGCAGACATTGTACAATGTAAGAGATAAGTTCAGAGAGTAAAAATCGATATCTTTTAAAAAAAAGTCAATAATCGATAAAGCCGATCAAAAATAATAAATTCAACTGTTTTCCTCTGATTTCGTTCAACTCGGTATGTAGGTTACTTACATCATGACGAGCTCAACGATACCTAATTTTTATTTCTTTATCACTGCGTTTAGCGAAAAACGAAAAATCAATTTCAACACAAATTTTAAACTAAAATCTTCCTCAATTTTCAAGCATTTTAATACAAACTTCGCTCAATTGTAGCCAACAATAAGTTGATTGCTCAGCAGTTATTTAACTTGATAATTGAGTCCACCCATAGAGTGAAAACCCGCGTAAATAGCGAAAAATGGCGATTTTTATTGGTTTCTTTCTTATTTTTCCTTGATCTTTCAACCGATTTTCATTAAACTCAATAATTGCTTTATAAATGTATCCTCCTTTACATCCCTGGTAGCATACTGATAAATTGAATTTCAAAAACTCCAAAATAATTGTGGTCTGAAGTGGGTCTTCATGTTGCCTGTTTTACCCCTTCATGTCCTCGGCTAAATTCGATTGAATAAATACAGACTACTTCTGTTATATCAATAACTGCATTAATTCAAAATGTTTTTTAATGAAAGTACTTTAAAGCAATTGAAGAAGATAGGCTATGTTACATCTAAACATGATGCTGTTTTTGCTCCATTCTAATTGAACGCTTTTTCTGATCGACCAGCTGGCTATGGTTGCTAGTTTTACCATAAAAACGTATTTTTCTATTACTTTGTTGCATTGATCGTCATTATGCTATAAAAAGGTATTGTTGGATAGCTTATTATAAAAATGTAGCGATTTTGTTGGGGGGTTACTATTTGTCCATAGCTGGGACCCTAACAGGTGCTACCACTCAGATTAGATGAACCTGGAAATAACAGCAAGTAAGAGATGGTTCAACGCTCTTGAAAACCTCCAGATCAAAGTCCTTGCTGCCGAATGTAGTTTATCGTCAGACGGAACTTGTACTTATTTTAAGTCATCTATGAGGAAAATGACTAACTGAAAATTGAAGATGATACTACGGCAGTTGTGTAGTCATTTGCACCCAACGGATAAGGATGAAATACTTCTGAATATTGCAGACGTGGCTCCACGCTCCTTAAAAACTCCAATCTCCCGATCAGAGAAGCCTCGCAGCCGGATGTAGTTTATCGTCATATCCAGCATTGTTGTAGAACGCGACATTAACTCATTCAGTTATTAAAAGCTTAAGAATTAAAATTCATCAAATAATTCAAATGGGAAAACCGTGACACTTTTATTTCGTCGAAGCTATTAGCTCGGATAAAAAATATACTACTTAATTACCAGCTGAGCAAGAGGGATTTTTTTAGTGATAGTCAAATGTGATGTTTTTTTCTCGTAAGAATTAAATTGCATACAATATTGTAACTACACACACACACACACACACACACACACACACACACACACACACACATATATATATATATATATATATATATATATATATATATATATATATATATATATATATATATATATATATATATATATATATATATATATATATATATATATATATATATATATATATATATATATATATATATATATATATATATATATATATATATATATATATATATATATATAAATAAGGGAAGAGGTTATAGTTGTTCCAACGAGAGAAAAGTAATAATGAAAAGAAGAGAGAAACCGCAAACATCTTTAGTCGTAATGTGGATTTATTTATTTTTTAATATATTATGCTTCATTTTCCATAATTTTGCTACACGTGTTTCCAATCTCACAACTTTCATCAGGCAAAGAGTGGGTATTTCCACATATTATTAAAAGGAATTAATTTTTCTTATATTTCTCGATGTTAAATATTCTCGATATTAGAATTTCTCTTTTTTGTGTGTTAGTGATCCAAATGTCTTTTTTGAACTGGCAGTGAACAAGTTCTTCGTGAAGGGTAATAAAACAATTAAGCCTGGCCCAAGAAAGTGTGAGGAAGATATCTATATTCTTATCTTTTAATGACCCCTGTGTGTTCTTAGATCTATTTCCATTTTTTTTGTGTGTTTTTGTCAGCATGCATACGCATACGTATATTTCCTCTCCACATATACATACTGTCTTATTATAAGGAATTAGTATACACATATGTACACACATACTCGAACTTCCTATGCTGCGTAGGGCGACCGTGAACAGTTTTGTTTTTGTCAATATGTGTATACATATACCAGTACGTGCATGTACATGTGCACCCGCCTCTATGCACACATACTGTCTTATTATAAGGAATTAGTATACACATACATACACACACAATATTGTACATATAAAACCATTTTATTACCTTATCAAAAGTAAACAAGATTGATATCAATTGGGACAAATTGAAGTGTGGGTATAAAGATAACCCTTTTCGTACATGCGATATGTGTAAAGTCCTCGTGGTTATTTACACTACTTACATTGTTCGGTCTGTTATCCTCGTCTTTCCTGTCACATTCCCGATGTTTCGGCCGTTGGACGCGTCGGCCTTCTTCAGGTGATATTTGTTGAAGTTTCGATAAATGAATGCCTACAAAAAGAATTATTCACAAGGCGTCACATGGATTCATTTCCCCGCCACGGAATTTCTTAGTACCCAGAGGAGGCACGGTGGAGTAATGGATAGCGGCTTGGATTAAGGAATTGGAGAGCCGAGTTCGAATTCAAGTCGAATCCAATACATATTACTTACATTACATTCACTTTCCTTAGGAAAGGTATGAATCCTCTTTTTCTCCCACAAGTCATGTTTAAATAGCAGGACAGGGTTCTATAGCCTTGGATAGCAAGTGGTCTACCGCAGAAAGAAATGGCAACGTACTGCGGGAAAATATCTGCCTCGTCAGTCACATATCGAAAAAGACATGATCGCCTAAGCGTGTATCATGCATGGCACATAACTGACTGATATTCACATACCCTTGGGAAAGGTATGAATCAACTCCTCCCCCCAGCTATGGGTAAATAGTAGGACGGGCCGGGATCTATTGCCTTGGGTGGTAAATGGTCTACCGCAGAAAGAAATGACAACCTACTGCGGGGAAAAAAATCTGCCTCGTTAGTCATGTATCGAAAGATACATGATCGCCTAAACGGGTATCACGCATGGCACATAACTGACTGACCGACTAGT